TCTATATGCATAGAAAACAGTCAAATGAAATAAAAAATAGTATTTACTAATATATTGAACACAATTGGAAGAAAAATATCCATGTTAAACTTTACAGAGAATACATTAAAATCAATGATAATGAAAAATAATAATACACAAATGGTACATAAATTTTAGCATGTCAGTCAACTTTACAGCAATATTAAGAAGCTAGACAATAGCTGGAGAAATTATTCACAGCACAGAGTAAAATAACATGAAACCAAATTAATTTGAACAACAAACACAGTTCTGTGCATCTCCATTCTTTGATATGCTTTCAGTAGTGCCCTCTCATCATATATGTGACGACCTTGACTAAATTTCAAATCAAGCTTATTCCATATATATGACCAATTTTGGCTAAGGAATAGTAGAAAACGTGATATAAATAGAGAATTTATCATTCTCTCATATATATTTATCTCTCTCTCCCCTCTCTCAACACAATTAACATGAGAAAATGTTTTCTCTACAGTGATATAAAATGATGTGGAGCAAATATCTGTCATCCTACCTGAGATTATCCTATAGCAGCCAATAATCAACCTACCATAAGATACAGTAAGACATAAACAGGCCCAAATGGAAAAGAAAATTGAGTGGATAAGTAAATCCAAGTAAATCCACTTTTGGATTGTAAGGGAGTGTGACTTGAAATTTAGTAGAAAGCTTCATGTGTGTGTGTGTGTGTGTGTGTGTGTGTGTGTGTGTGTGTGTGTGTGTAATAGTTCTTTTAGACCACTGAAATTCTGTAGTGATTTGTTAAACTACATCATTGTCTTACTAAGTAATTGAGGGATCAGAGAGATAGTGCTGGGGATTGAACGCAGGTTGGCCATGTGCAAGTAACACTCCCATCGTACTATAGTTCTGACACTTCTCAATATTTTTGGAAGAAAATCTCTCTGCCATTCCTCCCAGAACTCCTCCACTTTACCTCTGGTTATTACCATGGATTTTACCTAGTCTAAGTGTTACTATTGTCAGTTATTTATATTGCACATGTGCATGAATCCATCCAATAATTGTCTTTCAGTTGTTTGTTTCATTTAGCATAATTACCCCAAGATATATTGATTTTGTCCCAAAAGGAATATCACCAATTTTTATATGTGATAATATCATTTTACTGAATATATATACATTATATGTAATATATATCCCCATTTTTTATCCAGCCATTTACATTGATTCCATGTTTGGGCTGTTGTGTATAATGTTGCTATGCATATAGAGATACAAATATGCTTTTAAATTAGTCTCCATATCTTTCAGATAAATGTTCAGGAGTGCTATTTTTTGAATCATACGGTATCGTCATTCATTTTTAGGAATCATGACACTGTATTCCTTAAAGTTTTACCAACTTATCTTCTCACCAACTGTGTACCAGACTTCCTTTATCTCTACATCATTGTCAATACTTATTACCCAAATTTTCATGTAGGCGTGAGTTAGTAGCTCGTTATGGTTTGTATTTATCTAATTATAAGTTGGTATTGGCACTTTTGTTTATTTTGAGATCATATTCAACTGTGCTGGCTCAATGTTTCAACCCAGAAGTGCTCAGAGGTACATGCATGCATTGTTGTGAAGCAAATCCAGCCCATCAAAAGGCAAAGCATGTCAAATCTGGCCCATCTACAGGCAAAGCATGTAAAGCATGTGCTCAAATGCTTTGAGTTCACTTCCTAGACTGTTTTTGGCCTTTTTAAAAACATCTATAGGTCATCTGTATGTCTTCTTTAGAAAAGTGTCTAATCAGGTATTTTGCCCATATTTTATTGGGCTGCCTATTTTTTGTTTGTTTTTAACTTGTGTGCATTCTTCATGTTCTAGATCTCAACCACTTGTCAGACACAGGAAGTGTAAAAATCTGCTTTTTTGTGATATTTATTTTCTTCACTAAAAAGCGACAACTTTTTGATTTGGTGTAGTCCCGTTTGTTATTACTGCTTGTGTTTCCCTTGACAATCTATTTGTCTCTAAATATTTCTCTGATGTCAAGATTCTGAGTGTAGCTATCACTTATATTTTCCTCAAAGTACAGTGGTTTAGATCTAAAACCAACTTTTATTGCACTTCAAATTTATCTGTCTATGGAATTAAATCATAATGTAACTTCATTGTATTTTTCTTGGGGCTATGAAGATTTCCAAACACCATCTGTTTAAGAGAGTCCATTATATGGTCTTATCTATTTTTCTGTAGACAAGCTGTTCATATATACACGTAGACTTATATCTGGATTCTTTAGTCTATCCATTCAGTCTGTGTTCATGCCTCCCCCAGCCCCCCACACAACCCGATTATATACTCTTTTTATTAATATTGCTCTGTAATATGTTCAAAGGAACAAAGGAAACCATATATAAAAAGTAAATTATGGTGATGCTATTTTACGTAATAGATGATATAAAGATATCTAACTTACATAAAAGTAAAAAACAAAAACTAGAATTGAAATGTACATTAGTAGAGGGAACTGAGCTGGTAAAAGAAAGAATACATAAACCTTAAGAAGAATTTAGATTATCCAGTGAGCAACATGAATAAGAGTATTTAATTTATACAGAGCTTTAGACTGCTGCATTTCAACATATGCATGATGGTAATTGCAAAGGAGAATAGACAAGTAAAGACATAAAAAATATTTGAAAAAGTGCTATCCAAGATTTTTCTAAATTTTTTACAGAAATATGGATCTATATGTCAAATAAGCTTAATAAGTTCTCTGTAGGAGATATCCAAGTAGGCTCTTCAGCAGTATGCATTATAATCTAACACTCAAGAGACATAGAGAGAAAAGAATCTTGAAAAGAGCAAGAGAACAGAAATTCATCAAGTACCAAACATCTAAAATAAGATAAAAAGTACTAAAATAAGATAAAAAGATGATTTCTCATAGAATAGCAGTGTATGGTGGGGAAGCTAAAATGAAAAAAAAAAGAAAGAAAACAATTACCCTTACATAATACTGAAAAAAATAAAATTCTTAAGAATAACTTCAACAAAAACATTAAGACTGAATGCTATACAATACTGAAAGTTATTAAAGAACACCTAATTGAGTGAAAACAAATCCTATGTAAATGTATTTGAAAAGTTATAATTGTGAGAATATTTAAAAAATATCAACAATCATTGAAACTCCTAATAAAGTCTTAGCTGTCTTTTTAGTACAAATGAAAAAATTAGTCCATAAAATTTTGGAAATGCAAACGAACCAGAAAACAGAAGAGCAAATTTAAAAGGAACACTTTCCTATTTCAGAATTAATTATGAAGTTATAGTTGTCAATATGTGTTTTTGGCATAGAAGTATAGAAATGTGAATGGAAGATACTTTAGAGTTCAAAAATATACCCATGCATGTATGACAATTTTCAACAAGTGTGACAAATAAATTTAATGGGAAAAGATTAGTCTCCTCAAAATTGTTGCTAGAAAACATTCTATCTAATGCAAAATTACTGATCTAGATCAGTTTACAAAGAAACCCATTCATGCACATTTACCCTTGCAAACAAGCACACAAACTTTGAATATTAATGAAAATCCCTGCTATCTTCAAAGGACCTGGCCCTTTTTCATTTAGAGAGCCTGAAAATAGATGGCTCAAAAAAACCTTTCTTCATTCAAAGACTTCCTAAAAAACAGAACAGAACAAAAACAACCAAAATAAAGAAAAATTCAGAGGAAAAAAAAGATACTAGCACATGAAAAGTTTCACTAAAGATGGTCACAGAGGAGATAAAAAAAAATTAACAACTTCTATACTCCATAGTGGCAACTGAAATTAATTTCAACAAACTCTTTCAAGGAAACAATTCTGCATAGAGGGACCATCAAATAATACAAAACTGAAGCAGAAATCCGGAAGTAGCCCTGAAGCATAGCAGCCCTGAAGTAGCCCAAAGGCATGAGGAATACATTCCTTTGAGATGCAAATCCCAGAGTAGGGCAGTACCTCACTTTCAGAAAAGAAGGCAAGGGTCTTGATCAGAATCTAAAAGGATCATGAGGGTTTCCTTGTGACAAGGTCCAGATTAATTTCTCTGTATGTAGACAACTCCAGACCTAGACATTAGAGAAATTGTATATAAACTCTCAGCAAAGCCATTCTCTGCTTTTAATTTTTTTTCAGTTTCTCCCTCCCTGTTCTATTTTGAACATGTAAATCTCTCTCTGTTTTTCTCTCCCCTCACATTTCCTCAAATGCATCTCCTTTAAATAGAACTATTTTGTTTCACTAAAAACAAACAAACAAACAAACAATAAAACAATAGTATCTATGCCTTAGATCAAAAGAGACTGTTAATGAGACCCAGGGCCTGCTTACAAAAAGGGTTTTTTAAGGAAGATTCTCTCCAGGTGGATCTGGGATCCTAGGGCACTTTATCATCATGGTAAAGACGAAACAGAAGTAAACCTATTCATTTTGACAAATTTAAGGAACGTCATCAAAAGTTGTCTAGACACAGAGTAGCACTGTAGCACTGTCCTCCCGTTGTTCATCGATTTGCTCGAGCGGGCACCAGTAACATCTCCATAGCAGGCAAAAGCTAAAGCAGCATTCTTGACAAGTAGTGGCCATAGATGTAAGTTCCATACAGCATTAGCATTACAGTGTTCCCAGGTATGTGGCCCTCTTAAATTTTATCCAAGGCTTCAAAGAAGGACATTCTTTTGCATTTGGGAATATATTACTGTTCTGAGTGATATTAAACTGTATTTTAAAAATTCTTTTTCTGTTGTTTTCTTGCAAGATGTTGGTAGTTAAGTTGTGCTACTACCAAAGTATAAGCTAAGCACGCTCCTCTTTAGCAATATTTTTAGAATTCTTTATATAAATTAGAAAGTTCTGAAAAAACTTAGGTCCAGATCTTCGATCTATTGAGAAAATTTCAATTTTCATTTCTATATTTCTATGGCAACTCAGACAATTTTTTGTGGTTGGTTGTTTGTTTTCATGACAACACTCAGACTATGTTCTCTCCCTCTCACTCTTCCAAAGAAAGAGAAGAACAATCCTCAATGCAAAAGGCAGTTGCAAAAGCAACACTCAGACCCAGCTTCATACTCAGGAAGAAGATGCTCTGACTCCTCCTCCCGGTTTCCAGTGCTCTACAAGATCAGAGAAACTTCTCTAGTAAAGAACTATAGAAACAATCCCTGAAAGAATAGTCTCAGACAACGTATTTCATCTGCATCATTTTTGTTAAATTATTTATTTTTAAATATACATCCATCTGATCAAAATTTTTGGTATAAGTGTCATATTTTATTAGCTTGGTAATAAACAATACATTTCCAGAAATACATACATCTCATTAAATTTTAATTTCTTAAATTTATTTATATTTTTAATTGAATCACTGTGATAGTTACAAAATTATTCACAATTGGGTTTAGTCTATGTTCCAGTACCCTTCATTTCACCACTGTACATTTCCTCTGACCAATGTCCCAAGTTTCCCTTCCAGTCCCCATACTCCTCTCCCTCTATCCCCATCCTGCCGATTAGGCAGGAACTTTACTTCTTTCTCTCTCTCACTCTCCTTCTCTCTTTCTTTTAGGGCATTGTGGTGTGTGATACAGGTACTGGGAATTTGCCTGGTGCATTTGAGACAAGGAGGGCCTGAATGTGCTTTTACTGAGCACAGGCAGGAGGAATGCATCTTAATTTTTATGAGCTCACAGACCTTTCAGAAGATGGAGCAAAATCTCTAACATGTTTTCCAATAAAAATGCACATAACATATGTGCATTTTTTGCTAACACAGATGTGCATAGTTACAAGAAGGGAAAGAGAGCTCCCACAATTGACACAGCATGCGCGAATGTCTGCCAACATGAAAATCCTGTATGTTATTGTAGAGGCAGGTGGAAAGAGTGACTGGAACATAATTCAGTGTGACTGGAGCATAAGCTAGAAGAGAATTGGGTATGGCATAAAACAAAAACAAAAGATGAGATTATAAATAAGGATAAATCATGAAGCATATCAAATATCAGTCATTTGCTCTGTATTCAGAAGATGACAGAGATCATCCACAGCATGTCAACCCTCTCTTTACTGTTATAAAATTTTAGTTCAAAAAGATAATGTCCAATAGAATACTGATTGATTCAGAGTCTCTGAGTATGGAGTTCCACCGGCATTCATGTTAGGTACTGAGTGTGTGATATGCACATCTAAATAATATACTTTTGTGAAAGGAAAAGGACTTCTGGACTACTGTCCTCCCATTGTTCATCGATTTGCTCAAGTGGGCTCAGTAACGTCTCCATTTTTTTTGAGACTTCTTGTTACTGTGTTTGGCATATTGAATATGTCACGGTAGCTTGCCAGGCTTTGCCGTGTGGGCAAGATACTCTCGGTAGCTTGCCAGGCTCTCTGAGAGGGGCGAAATAATTGAACCCGGCTAGACTGGGCTTGCTGCGCGCAAGGCAAACGCCCTACCGCTATGCTATCACTCCAGCCCGTGAAAGGAAAAATGGTTTTAAAATGAAAAGCCCCTAAATATCTATTATTTTGCTCCATTTTAATTATTTGGGTTTTTTTTTTTGGAGGGGTCACACCAGGCAATATTCACGGCTTACTACTGGTTCTCTGCTCAGGAATCACTCCTGGTGGTATTTAGGGGACTAAGAGGTACCAGGGATAGAATACAGGTTGACCATGTGCAAGACAAGTGCCCCATCCACTATAATATCACTTTGTCCACTATAATATCACAATGGTCCCTGATGAGCTCTTATGTGGTCCCCTGAGCACACAAGATATGATCACTGAGTTCATGAGTAAGGAGTAATCCCTGAGAATAGACAGGAGTGCCCTACCACCCAAAAGGAGGGAGACCCTGAAACAATGGTAGAGGGAAGCTTACGGTCGGGTGTGTGTTGGGGTGGTGGGGAGAGGGTTAGAACATTGTCTGAGGGGCTGGAGAGATAGTATAGACGGGACAGCATTTGCCTTGCATGTGGTTGACCTGGGTTCGATTTCTGGCATCCCATATGGTCTCCAGAACAATGTCAGGAGTGATTCCTGAGTACAGAGCCAGAAGTAACCCCTGAGCATAGCCAGATGTGGCCCCCCAAAAGCCTAAATAAATAAATAAATATATAGATAAAAGAATATTGTATGGATGAAACTCTAACACTGACAGTAGTATAAATCACAGTCACTGAAATGGTTTTAAAATCAGGGTTGAAGAAATATTCCAATGGGTAGGGCATTTGCCTGGCATGCCACCAACTCAGTTTCAATGCCCAGGATCCTGTATGGTTCCCTGAGCATAGCAAGGAGTGACCAATCCCTGAGCTGATTCCAAAGCTGGAGACTATTTGGAGAAAGATGGGGTAGAGAACAGAAGGACATTCAGCACTGCATATATAAGAGAAGGGTACACAGGAAAGTTGAGATTCCTGTCATCTAACTGAAGGCAACCTAATTTCAGAATAGCTTCATGTCAGTCCTGCCCAATTTACAAAAATAACATATATTTCTTTGATTGCTCTGAGTATTAAGTGTCAAGGTGAAAAGTAGACCCTGTGTATCTTTCTCTAGCTTGGAAAGCACTATTGTAATCCTAGAATATAACCTCATCATAGTTTATGAAATATCTTGAGGAATAACCTATGATTTATTTTTCAATCAGGAAAATTACAAACTTCCCATGATATACACTCATCATCACAAAGAAGAAAGACTATTTTTAAGACCAAAAATAAGTAATACACAATAAGTATTTTTTAAAAATGAAAAAGAAAGTTAGTTCCTCTGAAAATATCTCTATGTTGGGATTTTGTTTTCCATTTCTAAATCTACAATGGATTAATGAAAATACTATGTCACTCTTATATTAGTTTAGAAATTAATGTGAAGAATCTCTGGATGAGATGACTTAAACATTTCACTTTCAATTTAAATTCAAAAATTCAAATTATAGTTTTATTTTTTAAAAAATAACATATTTAGAATCAAATAGTTCCACTTCACGTTCTATTTAATGGTGATATTCAAAGACCTTCCCCCCAATCACCTCAGCTGTTCTTTCAGTCTTAGTAATATAATGCAATGCCCTGTCTTTCACATTATTTTCAAAGGCCAATTCTCCCAAATCTTTAGAGAGCCCTGTGCATTTACAACCAATACCTTTTATGGCACAAAAGATAATAGGAGGTTCAACTGTTTTCTGTCTGCTTGAATGTTGATTAAAGACCTCAGTAATCACAGCACACTCTACATGAATCCAGAATTTAAAAACACAGATTACTTCTGGGAGAAAAAAAATGAAAGAAGTATATGGGGCATGGAGGGGGCACTAAGCTACCTTGCCCAAAAGAAGGGAAAACATGAAAATGAAAAGAATTTCACTGGCTACCTTGTTTGGATACTTTTAGTTCTAAAGTGTTCAAGACTTGTAGTATTTTTTGTGCATTCTATAAGAGGAATAACAGTGTATCAAAGGGTATTTTAGAAGATGACTTAAATAATTACATGTGGACTCAAAATACCAGAATTTATTTCTGCTTGATAAGAGTTCTGGTCTTTGTCTGTCCAAGAATAGCCGAGATAAGTATCAGGAGGTTCACTCCATGGCTTGGAGGCCAGCCACTCATGCTAGGGGAAAAGGCAGCTCAGATAGAGAAGGGAGCACCAAATAAAGGTGTTGGGAGGGTCCTCCCAGGATTGGAGATGCATCCTGAAAGTAGACTATAGACCAAACGTAATTGCCACTCAATGCAAACCACAACACTCAAAAGGAGAGAGAGAACAAAGGCCCTGCCACAGAGGAAGGGTGGAATGGGGGGTGGGGGGGGAGGGATTCTGGGAGCATTGGAGGTGGGGAATGGGCACTGGTGGAGGGATGGGTACTCGATCATTGTATAATTGAAAGCCAAGAACAAAAATTTGTAAGTCTACAACTGTACCTCATGGTGTTTCACTAATAAAAATTTTAAAAAAAAGAGTTCTGGTCTTTGGTCACTGCCAGATGGTACCTTTCTAAACCCACCAGGAAGGGCCTTGAGCAAAGGTTTTTATTAGTGGGTTTGCTTTATTGAATTCCCTACCTGTCCTAATTCTATATATTTACAATTAGTTGACCTTCAAAGCTAGTGTCCAGGGAAGAGAATTGTTTTCTGACAAGCTATCATTTTAAGGCTAATGTTTTTTTAAATAAACAATTGAGTTTGCAGCATTCAACTCTTATCACATTTTATTGGGTCTTGTGCTTTAATTTGGTACGTGTGTTTTGACACCAATTCCATGGCAGGTGGAATTTTAAAAATGGAATCAATAAGATTCTCTGTGATATATGGTATGAGAATTCCAAGTTTAACTTTCAAAACTAAATAGAAAGTTCAGGTCTTATAGAGCCCTGCAAGGAAAACAAGTTGATTCCTTAGGGTTACCTTATTGCAGATTTTTGTTTCTGCTATTTGTTTGAGGTCCACACCCTTCAGTGTTCAGGACTTAACTCCTAGCTCTATGCTCAGGTGTCACTCCTTTGTGTGACAAGGACCATATAATATACCAGGTACTGAACCCGATACAGCCAGATGCAATGTAAACACCTTACAGACTGTACTATCTTTCTGACCCACCTTCTGAAGATTTTTGAAATGTTATTTATACTGACAAAATATACAAACACTCCCTACACCAAACAGCTTTCACTGAGACCCATGACCATATCGCCTCATCTTGAAGGGATGAAATTTATCTAGCCACAAAGCCAAGATACAGACTGTTTTTCCTTTAAACCCTCTCTCTAGTACATTATACAGAATTGCCAATTAATAGGGACTTAATAAATCTTTGCTAAATTACTTATAGAATAAATTTGTCTTCTCTTCCTTCTTAAGGGACTAAAAGGAGACAAAACTCCCCCTTTACGAATTAACATTTCTTAATCATGTAGGATTTATCTGATTCTATTCCCTCTTGCATTGATCTAGACTATGTTTCCTCATGTACTCTCTTCTTAGCCTAATTGCCTTTGATCTTTATATCTCTACTGGTCACTTCAGATAAACCTCAGATAAACACAGACAAATGTCTTAATTTTATTAAACTTTTAACAAGTACAGAGCAAGGGAGTGAGGATCCGGAAAGAGCTCGTGTTGGTGATCCAATGATGGTTAGTTGTATTCTACTGCTTGATAACTGAGTGGTTGAGA